TTTAATCTATTCTTTAATCAAAACAAAACGACAATGTTGAATCGAAGCTAATTGTGCTGTAATGTTTTTAAGTTTTAATGAATGCTAATTAAAATTAAAATGAATTTTTAATACGTTTGACCGTGTTACGTAGACGTTTCTTCAGCTATTCAACTACTAAAATCATCATAAAACTCATTATTAAAATTAAAGGAAAAGGAAGAAGTAAGTAGGATCATTTTAACGATTTTAGTTATAATTTAATTAAATTTTGCCTATACATTAAAGATGATTATAATTTTAAAAAACAGAAACAGAAAGTTATGAAAGCAACTCTTGCGATAAAATCTACAAACTTTTGCAAAAACAAATAACAACGTTGCAGGTTTATCTAGATACCCAGCTTTTGTACATCTAATTTCTTCAAAGGGTCACATTTAATTTAGGTTTAAGCGTTAGATATAAATTATGTAATTTTCAGGTTATAAAAACAAACGACTTTCACACATTTACTATAATTTTATAGTAATATCTATAGAAATATATTCCACGTTTAATGGAAAAGCAACCTATCTAAAAATACCTTATTTTGAGAATGTTATAGTTTCATCTCTCAGAAACCTAAAATAACAGTACTCATTAAAATTAACATTCAAAAACTTATTTTCTAAACATTAAGTACCTAGTATTGTACTTAAGCTTCGTGTTCTAGGTAATAATACTGACATTTTTTGGCTTAGAAAAGTCTTAACTTGCTAATTAAAATTAATTGAGTTTTGTACACCAAAGGTGCAGAATGATTACTAAAATTTGTTATTTTTCATTTTTATCAATGAATTCTTAAACTTTTCTTTAAATACCATTAAAATTAAATCGAAAAATCTAATTAGTGGAAATTTTCCGAATCGTATTGAAAAAAATCCTATTGACATCTCACCAAGGCATACAAATACATAATGAAGGAGACAGAAGGTTTCTTAAACACAGCAAAATAATATTTTATTAAACAGCTGATTAGGAGGGAGAAAGGGGGGGAGGAATACACAAACCTAAAATATAATAATACAAAAATGTGTCAATTAAATTAAATTAAAAAAAGAGAAACTTTCTGTCCTGATAATTCCTGAATAACTTTGTTTTGTGTTTTTCTTTTTTTGTTTAAACAATAGATATAGTTTTAAAGTATTATAGAACTCTTGAATTATTAGGAGGGTTTCGATACACCTACAATTATTTAAAAATTTTACTTTGGGAATACATTTTTTGAGAAGCCCTTTGAAGAAATCAATATGCCTTATTTATTATAGTTTGATAAAATTATTAGTAGAGCTATTAAAATTATTTTTCCACATTACAGTTCATTGCAGTACACGTTCATCAATATCATAAAACTATCATATCAATATCATCAAAATATCATCAATATCATCGATATGTTTTTTTCATTTATAACTTATTTACCGTACGAGACGGGTAAATAGTCGCCTGATATATTATATGGATGACACAAAATTTTTTGGACTTTCAGTCAAGATATTTTTATAAGGCTAGTCTGTTTTTATATTATTTAGATAAACTAATAAAAATATCTTAAAATCTCTTTATTGAGATGGTGTATTTAACATCCATACCCCAGAAAACTCCTGCTGTATGCATTTAGATGGATGTTTGAGACATCAATCGCAAGTGTTTGTTTTTTCTCTTTTTTCTTCTTCTTTTTTTTCTTCATATATGTGATTTTTTTTCCCCTGATGATGCCTGGTTTGGTAAAACCTGGGCAGGTTTACTGTTCACCTGCATGTTAAAGTCACATTGCTTTTTAACTTGGATTTCTCCATTTATAACATATTCAATGTATCTTTCTTTTTAAGCTATCTACTCATTTTAGTCCGTAATAATGATAATGAACGCGGGATTGACACCTTAATTGCATAATGATTTCATATTCAGACTAGTTCTTTCTCTAAAGGTCTCGGAATCATATTTGTAACTATGAGATAGCAGTTATCAGGGCATGTTGCGCAGATAACGGGTTACAGTCTTTGTCACTGTTGTTGTAGTCCAGCTGGGGTCAGTTACTTGCTTTCACGCTGGTGAGTTTGTTTGCTTGTAATAATAAACGCATTGTGTAACGTGATACGGGTTCATTCAACTTTAAGTTGGCTTAAATGATACAACTAGTTAGAGATAACGTTTTGAGACGAAAACGTCTCCTGTTTAACATCCAATAAAGAGTGATATCATATTTTCTTCAAAAGTTTCTCTCACGATTCGACAAACAGAAGTATATTCAACTAAAGATAAGATTTTTTACGAATACGGTAAAATAGCATATAACGACATTCATAAGAAAATAGGAACAATCTCTGTTATAGGATCAATAGAAAGGTAAGTAGATTAATAAGTAATGATGCATTTATAACATGATCTGCAAAAAATAATAACTTGAAGACGAAAATCACGCAGTGTTCAGGAATATTTAAATCCTTAATAGTAGATTTCAACAACAATATGAAAATGTCATATAAACCATGATACTATATCACACAAAAAAAAGACAGGAAGTTAAAGTCCTGTTTTTTTATTTTTTATGTGCTACGCTTTTTATTAGACAGGAAGCAATATCCAAAAAAATATTTAATTTACCGAAATTAATAATTACAGTATAGTAAACTAAACGAAATCTTTTGCATACCCAATTAGAATTCTTCTTTGTTAAATTATTTCAAGTGGACTCTTACAGCGGATAAACTAAGTTCTTATTTTTATGTAATCCTGGATTATTCGCATTTTATCTATCAGCCTCCTACTATACTGAAGATTCTCCATCTTTGCAAAAATAATGTTTAATTAACTTTTTTTTTCCACATTACAGTAACCCTGTAATGAGTGCATATATTTCTACGCGTACCATCTTGCGACATAACGCGTATTGAGATACATAGTTAGTTCAAGTAACATAGTATTGATATATTACAATTCTTTGAATAATTAAAAAATAAAATAAATAAATGTATATAACAAATTATAGTAATCTAAGTAAATAATTAAATATAACATACAATAACTGAAATCATAAACAATAGCGATACATTAGAGATTAGATAGTGAAAAAATAGAATATTTACAACAGAAATGTGATATGAAATGTGACATAATACCAATTAATTAGCTTTATGTCTGTATTAATTAATTTGAGGTTTCTTTTTGAGCAAACAGAGATTCGCCTCCAGTTTTGTAATACCAAGTTGTGTTATTTTAATTATTTTCCCCCAAAATACTAATATATTATGTGAGAATAATTAGGATTAAATATTAGGAACCTATTGTTCATTGTTTTCCTGTATCAGTTTTTTTAAGAACGGATTATTTATTTCTTACTTATTAGTATAATTTCATGTTTTATTTTCCTCAGTAATTTCCCTACTTATCAGACTGCTTATAGCAGCTGCAGACTACAAAATATCACCTTTAGCGCAAGGAGAACAAACATTTAAAATTGTCACATACGACCTTTTACACTAATAGTTGCGATATGTAAATAATAGCTATTTATCACAAATTTAAATATTTAAAATGTATCACTCAAAGTGATAGTACACCAGTGCTTTTCACATAAATTTCGATTTTAAGAATTAATATTTTTTTTTTTGTCTATAAAATATGTATTTGCGCCTGTCAACAATAAGTTGACAATCAGCAAATGTGATGGCGATAATGATATATGTATGTCATGACATGACAGGCATGGGGAAGGAAAGTACTCAGCAGTACCTCTTCCCTAACTTGTTCCAATTACTTAGGTCGTCTAAGGAAGGAGATCCCTCATCCAACGCCTTTTTAATCTCCTGCTCATGTTCTGAGGTATGTCAGCTGTGGCCATGTCTCTTATAAGTCTGTTATTATGTCCATTTAAATTTGTGTAAAATCGTTGATATAGGGTCGTTGGTATGTTGGTCAACTGTTGGAAAGTGGAGGTCAGTATGTAGAGTTTTGTTAGTCACGTACCAAGGTGCTTTTGTTATGAGCCGCAATAATTTTGATTGGAACGTTTGAAGTTTTTGTAGGTGGGTCTTTTTAGCGATGCCGTATAGTTGTAATGAGTATGTCCATATGGGTTTCAGTAAGTATGTATATGTATTCAGTTTCTGTTTTAGTTTTAGTTTTGAAGATTTGAAGAATTAATATTAATATTATAAAGTGATCAACTAAATTTTTCTAATATTTAATCATAATTATAATGTTTAGATTTTTGTGATTAAAAAAAATCGTTTATACTAATTGGAGATAATAACTCATTTTTGAATTTTATTTCTAAAAAAAAATATATAATTTTATACATGAATAAATAAATACTAAAATTAGGTTCAGCAAAAACATTTGAGGGGACTTTTATTAGTTTTTTCTGCATTTGATAAGGAACTAATTTACCCCACATTTACAGCCAATAATGAATTTTCTTTATATCAAATCCTAAATTTTCTGGGCTATAAGAATTATTAAACAAAGAACGTTCTCTATAATTAAAGAAACTGGAGAGATTTTACCAAAAATAATTCTTGTTAATAAACATGTATATAAGTTGAATCGAAGATGTTTATTTTACTTTTTAATATATATTTTTTCTTTTCTTCTTATTTGTACATATCATATTGCTATTACTTAATGAATTTATTTATATTCTGTGTGAATATGGCGTGAAGGTGCTCTGTGATAACTATTATAGTTCGTGGTATGGACCCCTTTTTATGAAATTATTAACATCCACCAGAAACTTTGTAAATAGCTTCACCTCATCGTAATCTACAACTATTTTCTTTTCGAAAATTATTAGAATCGGGACGTTTTCAATTTTATACACAACCGTTTACAGATTTGCCCCTCAATATCTCTCCATCCTTTGCTTGAAAAAACTAAGCCCATTAATATTTTTAAGATGACTGTGCATTATTTTTTATTTTTTTATTTTATTCGCAGCATATTCTTATATTCTTCAGCATAGTCAATTCCTTTTATTTTTAAGATTCGGATTCTTCAGAGGAGCTGATGACTTCCAAATCAAGGACTAAATCAGAAATCGAAGACGACTTAAAGCGATTAAGAGAATGGTTAAGCAAACAACCGCATTTGCCAAAGAATATAGGTGAGTATTTTTCATGGAGTTGGGGAAAATTCCGTAATTCATCGATGGCATGTTTTCTAGTATTAAGACGGATTCGATGCCATTAATGAATTTAGGAACTTATCCTTGATGAATTTACAACTCGGTAAATTAATCACTTAACCAATCACTTGATGAAGTAATACTCTAACGGTTCAGAAATGTATGTTATTCTCAAAGCTAATTCAAAACAATTCCCAGAGACTGCATAAAGGGGCCCTTACAAAGTCAAAATTATTGAGTCCATTCTAATTTGTATACCACGCTCAATAATATTGCTTCAAGATTATTGATTCAATAATATTGACCATGTAAACTGGGATTAAAGCCACGTTTTGAAAAATTGAGGTTAGAAATAATTGTAACTGAAATTAAACAGTATCTATTTTGCAATAAATCGTATTATTTTTTTACAGATAATGAAATACTATCAGCTTATGTACATGGAACTAAGAGCCTGGAGATAGCAAAACAAAAGTTGGATGCCTACTATTCATCCAAGTCCAAAGCGCCACATCTCTTCAGCTTTCCGGCAAGAGATACGGAAGATGATTCTTTTAAGAAGGGATGTGAAGCATTGTAAGTGCAATTGTATTAAATAAAGTGTGGTTCAGAAATATTGTAGATCTTGATTAGATCATTGTAGTGAAATATTCAACCAAATTAATCCAAATGCTTTGGACTCAGGAGACCTCAAAACGTGTATTTCCGTTGAAAACTCAGATTATAAAATTTTCACGATCGTAATACTCTCCCGTTCTATATATATTAGGTAAGTGAAAGTAAACATTATTTCAGTTTAATGCTCTATTTCTTGTTGGGAATTTAACTTTTTTATTATTGCGTTTTAGAAAATTATCAAAACTAAATAAATTATACTTAAAAAAGATTTAGGTGTGTGTACAAAGCATGTACACTGACGTTCAATTTGAAACATTCTTTGGAGACTATGTAGTCTGTCATAACCTTCAATCATCTGATTCATCCCTTCTTGAATGTCAGTTAATAATGCATTTGCTACCGTTGAATGCAAAGGGGCTTTCAAACCACGATTTCCATCCTCTCAAAGCCGAAACTGTTTCTGAATAAAGAAAATTAAGCATGTTAAAAAAGGATTCAAAACGCGCTCTCACTGAATCAAAAGTTTTTTTTCTCTTAAAAATATAATTTTTAGATGAAATATTTTATTCTTTTAGATAAGACCAGCACAAAGTGGTTGTTGTAATAATACACCGACAGGCAAAAAATTCCACCCACTTGATTTTTTCATCTAAAAATATTTCAGCCACTTGCAAAAAAAGTTGTATTTGTATATAATACATGGTATTTGTAGATAATACTTAGTATTTATGGAATTTTATAATCTTTTTTACCTAATCAATTTTTTAATAATCAAAATATGATTAGGTAAGAAAGATTAGAGAAAAAAAAATTAAAAAACGAATCATTATTATTCTAAAAGAAATTAATTACATCATCGTTTAGTAGCGCGTGTTTCCTCGTCTTGCCTTCACTACTTCTTGAAAACGCCTCTCCATATTTTCCACCAGTCGGGAAATGTTCCTTTGCTGGAGGATAGCCCATTCCTCCCGAAGAGCCCTTTCAAGATCCTGCAGTGTATCAGGAAGTGTTTCACGCGCTCTTGTTCGTCTTCCGAGGTTATCCCACAAATGCTCAATGGGGTTCAAATCTGGAGAACGTGCTGGCCAGGCTAAAACCTCAATATTGTTCTGTTGAAGGAACGTCTGCACTATGCGGGCGACATGTGGACGTGTATTATCGTGCATTAGAATAGAACGATCGCCGATTTCGTTAAGGATAGGCAACACATAAGGTTCTAAAATCTCATCTACATAGCGAATGGCCGTCAAAGACCCTCCACGAAAAACAACCAATTCTGTGCGGCGCTCCATTGAAATCCCAGCCCACACCATTAAGGAACCACGTTGGAAAGGTTGGCTCTGGGAAAAATTACAGGCTGCATATCTTTCGTTTCTTCTTCTCCACACCCTTTCACGCCCGTCTGGAGATCGAAGAGCGAATCTTGACTCATCTGTAAAAAGTACAGCACTCCATTCGTCCATAGTCCAATGGCTGTGTTCTCGAGCAAAAGCCAGCCGTGTTACTCTGTGAGTGCTGGTCAACTCTGGTCCTCTTATTGGACGAAAAGCCATTAATCCATACTCATTTAATCTTCTCCGGGTGTTACGTTCAGAAATTTGCACACCTCGAGCTTCTTCGAGCTGATGAATCGCTTGAACAACGGTAAGGAGCCGGTTTCGTAAAATTCTCAAAGTCAAAAACCAGTCATCCCGTGGTTCTGTTACCCTAGACCGTCCAGAACCGTGCCTTCTATTGTAAGAACCAGTTTCCCGAAAACGCCTGACGGCGTCTCGTAAAGTTTCACATGGAACTCCGATGGCATTAGCTGCATATCTAATGCCATGGAACGTCCATCATCAATAAGTGTCACACCCCGCGCGACATCCTCAGCACTAAGAGGCATTTTCAAACTTAATATTATAAAAGTAAAAGCCGGAGACTAAGAAATGTGCTGCAAGAAACGGCGCTGAACTAATGATACTGAATAAACATTTTGATTCCATAGGAAGTAAACATTGGAATCTTGAATCATTTCATTGAATTGAGGATTAAGGGTTATTGTCCTCTATATTAACATTCCTAATTGAAAACAAACAAAAAGATTACCTATTTATTCATTAAAAACAATAGACCAATCCAAAGCAGAAATATTTTTAGATGAAAACATGAAAAAATCAAGTGGGGGAATTTTTTGCCTATCATTGTATAATTATTGCACCCTATCAATAATTTTGACCAAGTATGTGTGCTATAACATTATCGTGTAATTAAACGAATGCTCAGGATGTAAACTTATTCACAGTATTTAACAGTTATAAACTTTTCTAATATTTTTTGTTTTTATATTGACATCTAAAGTAATAAATTTTATTTATTTTCTTTTTTTCGGTCTTTCTCGCCTTCACCCTCAAGGAAGTTTAACCATAATTTATATTATTTTGTAGTACTGTATTATATACACGCATTTAAATTAAGTAGAGACTCGCTCTTCAGTTTTTCATGTTTCGTCTAAGCCTATTTTTCTTATGTCGTTTTCGTATTGGGGACATTCTTCTAGTAAAGTGTTTCACTGATTGTAGTATGTTATTGCATTTTTCACAGGTGGGGGCTTATTTTATTTTAAAGTTTTATTATAGTTTTATCATCAATTTTATTACGTTAATTGTTGCGATGAATCCAAAAGAGACTATTATTAGGAAGATCTTCTTTCTGCCAGAGATGACCTCGGAGAGATACCTTGTCCTGTTCGTCACCTTCGATCTGGACTTTTCAAAGTTTGACCATGTCCAATATCTGGTGAGGATGATGATGATGGTGGAGTTGGCTATGTTACGGTGGCCTGACGCTGAGGGAGTTGTATTAGCCACAGACCTCAGCGGGATGGATGTTTCTATCTTGTCTAAAGTCAACATCACCATTAGCGGATTCTTCATTCATTGGTTTCAGGTAATCAATATCTGTATTGTTTAAACTGAAATATATTTAATACAGTAATATAATGGTTTATATAGTTATTTGAAAATATAATATTGACTATGTGTCCATCAAGAATAATATCAAAAAAATATTGAAGAAAACAATAAAAAAAGTCATTCTAACTATCATCCTAAATATCGAATATTCAGACAATAATTATAATGAGATATGAACTTTTTCTGTGTCTATAACATTCATATTATAGACACAGAAAAAATAAAATTAACAAAAGTAAAATAATAACTAAATAATAATCAAAAACTATATACAATACAAAATAAAATAACTTAAAGATAAGTAAATTAAAAACATAAAAACACAGGGAACCCCAAGCCATGCTTGTCCCTCCACCTAGGAAAAGCAGCACTACAAGAGATCACTGTGATCCTCTCTCAACCGCGTCACTGGTGCTAAAGCTAGCGGAGCGCTTTAACCACATACACTCATGTCTTGAGTGGAGAATCTGTTCATTGCCAGAACTCCAAAAGATCTCTGGGCCACTGCCGCTTTAACCTTTGAGGAGGATTGTAAGGATGAATGGAACTAGAAAGGGATTGTGCAAGGTGGTTTGGATAATTTGTGAGGTTTTTGAAAAAAAAAAAATCAGCGATAAGGTCTAGGACAAATGGGATATTAAGGTCACGATGTAGGGTTTTGTTGGGTACATACATCCTTTGGACTGAAATAATTGGATGCGTTTGATGTTTTGCTCTCCCCACAAGTTCCATTCCGTAGATCCAAATAGGTTTCAGGATTGTCTTGTAGAACCGTATTTTGTTGTCAATTGAAAGTTGCGATTTTCTATTCAGTAGTCTACATAGTTGTCCATATATTCTGTTAAGGTCTTGTCTTTTAAGTCTAATATGTGGGTTCCACGTTAGTCTTCGGTCTAAGAGAAAGCCAAGATACTGGACTGCCTGAAAAAAGAGGCTGAATGGAATAAAAGTGGACTGGCGGATAGGACCTGCGCAGGAGCGTGAAGAAAACGTCTTTGCATTTGGATTCGTTTACTTTAATGTGCCATTTATTATACCACTTCTCAATCAAGGAGAGATATCTATTAAACAGATTTAAGGATGCTGTTTTGGAATATGAGTTGGATGGCGGTGTCATCAACAAATGTTGCCAGAAAGGTATCGGGATGAACAGGGATATCAGCCGTAAAAAGGATATAAAGGATGGGGTGTAAGATGCTTACTTGAGGAACACCGGCTTCAACTGGGTAGGAATCGACAAGTTTTGTATCACAGTGAACTTGAAAGGTGCACTGAAAAATTTAGGAGCGGAGGACTAGGTACAAGGACTGGGGTAGATGGGTTTTCAGCTTGGAAAGAAACCCAACGTGCCATACCCGGTCGAAAACATCAAATGTTAAAATTTTTTTTTCATCTTTCTCCCCTTATTTTTTTCAGCTTTATTTTCTGTTCTACAATTTCAATACAATGGCCAGAATTATATAGGCAGTGATGAAGGATTTCCAGTGAATCAAAAACAATAGCTTCCGTCATATTTTGTAGTGGATTCCTTTCTCCACCCAGCCTTACCAAAAAAAAATTATAGACTTTCTCTTTCTCTATTTGTTGCTTGAGGTTTTCATTCTCATCGTTCGTTCTTATTGTTGAATCTACTAACAGACCAACTAATCTTCTCTTTCGGACTATAGGGCAAGATGCCTACGAATCTTGCTGAACTTGCCGTATCTTGACAATAAACTTCTAGGAAGCATCTTTACTTTTTCTTCTCCACGGGTTCGGCTATTCGATGTTTTATATTATTGTGTCGGTAGGTGACTAGGAACATGTTATTCAAACATTTTCCCGAAATTTGAGCGAGTCTTTGATGGCCGAGGAATACATCTCCCGGCCTCTGGTCTCTGAAACTCCACGGAGAGTAGTTGACATCTAGTTTCAAAGCATTCATCAACCCTGAGCCCGTAAAAAAACAAAAAAAACATCTGTACTACTACCACCCAGGAAGGGTCTTGTGTTCACTACTTGGTAAGGAAGTACTGTTTCAAGTTCAACAGTTGTCCATGAACGTGATCAGGACGGAATAATCACCCACTCACTAATCACTAATCATTCAACCAGAAGGTTTTCTCCCCTAATTAATTATTTAAATTAAGAGTAAAAAATGTACAGAGGCTGAAACCCCAGGAAGGTTTCCCGACCCCAGAGTCGAATTATGGATTATGAAAAATTACTTATCATCAGCCGAATTCGAACCTGGCATCTTGAGCTTTGGATGTCATTGCCGACCACTTCGATCCCAAAGCATTTTGCTCATCCAATGGAACGACGACGCAACTGTTAAATTATGGAAAAAATTTCTATTATTTATAATTGTCAAATAGAGCTGTTGAATCAAATCGACGTCATAGTATATTGAATGAGAAATTTGAATGTATTGAGATTTTCACATTGGTGCAATCAATTTTGAAAATCTTGTGATTTATATTATATAATGATAATTCTAATTACTTTTAACTCTCATATAAATTGTACGGTTTTATGTTACGTCATCGTTCCGATGGATGATTTGTACCGTGCAATTTATTCTTAGCTCAGCACTTGCGATCTAAAAAATGATGACGGGTTCTGAGGTAATACCCGTAATATAAAAACTTTTTGAAAAAAAAAAAAATGCAACTGCTAAAGCGAGACGTGAAATTATTCAAACTGAAGGTGAAGGTTTCAAAGACCATCTTTGCTCGGCGTTCGCAAAATCCAGCAGTGAATATGTCCTTGCAACGAAACCCAGACGCACGGTGATCTTCAACGGATCTTGATTAGGATTTCGATACTCTTGGCAGATTTTTTTATGTACTAGTATGCTGTGTATTTAGCAACCCAATATAATTGGGCAGCACTCTTTTATATGAAAATAAAATATTTCTTTCAAAACTTTACTAGAAAGGAATAAGATGCATGTGAAATTACCCGTAGAGTTGAATTTGTGGTGAAAAAGTTTTTCTGTTGCTCTAACTAGGATAGGTATCTGCATGACATCGAACAACTAGCTGATTCAAACCAGTCGATCACATCGAGCTACGTTTTGAATATTATCTTGTACTATATTAAAGAAATAAAAATATATTTTTTATTTGTGAATAGCGATTACTTAATATTATTTACAATGTAAGCAACCATAAACACATAACAAATTATAAAAAAAAATCTATGGATATAGTAAATATATTACCCCTAAATGTAAAATAACTTTCAAATAAACTAGCACAAAGTATAAATTTATCTATTTTTTTTTAACTGGAATCTGCATTTTATAGGATGTTTATAATAAATGATAAATAAATGACTGTTGTTGATTTTAAAAATAATTTTACCGAATTTTTGAACGAATTATCAAAATTAAGATGATAAATGATTTAAAATAAATTGGAAAAGTTGTACCAAAATTATTTCAAACATTTATATGTCTTTATTTTATGAGTTGTAATGAAATGAAATTGTCAAGATAGAGACAAAATTTAAAATTATGGCTATAATTTTTTTCAAAAATAATAGTGGTATAATGATCAATTAATTAATTAATTATGACCCCTCCGACTAAACCAATGAAACTCAGGTTATACACGATGAAAATATAAGTAGATTTTTAATAGATTTAGCATCGATTAATGACTGTAAATAAATACTAAAATGGTCTTACCAGAGCTTTCTTTGCGATTAAGTGAGAAAAAAATAACAAAAATATTGTGCCAAAAACATGGTTTGCTGAATAGTCTCTGTACATGTTAACTACCATTAAAGAGGTGTAATGATTTTACCAGAAAAAGTCTAATATCTTCATCAGAAATAAAAACAAAATATATTAGCTGCACAAAAAATATTCCCTTTTTGCAAATAAATGTCTGTGTGTAGTTAAAAGAAGTTAGAATGAAAATATACAACATGTTAAACAGGACAAACCAACAGGCATAAAGAAAAAAAAATTCCTCATCAGATATTAAAAAAAAAATAGAGGTCTTAAAATATAGACTTTTATTGATCATTTACATAAAGATATAAATATAATATTTTATCATTTATGTTTTTTTACGTTCCAGAAAACTATTCCTATGAAATTGAAAAAAGCAGTGGCTGTGAATGCACCAAAATTCTTCGAAACTATGATGAATAGTTTTGTAAGACCATTCCTAAGTAAGAAAATATTTGAAAGGGTGAGTTAATCATAACTGTTACTAATATTAACGATATTATTCCGTAATTGTTTTATGATTAAAATTAAACTTATGTTAGATTACTCACATAATCATAAGCATGAGTCATTGATAAACTTAAATACCTTCTTGCTATAATGGTTTATCTATCTGATTAAAACGAATTTTTAAAATTTTGTGTTGTTATTGAATAGACGAATAAAGAAGATGGTTAGTAAATAACTTCGTGAAAATTATTTCAATTATGTTATAAATATTAATTTGACGTTCGATTTGACTATAAATAAATTTTAATGCTTTTCGAGCTCATATTAACAGTTGATAAATGAAAATATGCTAGATAGAATGTGATATCCTTATTGTGTATTTCAAATTTTGTGCATAGGCAATATTGCGAAATTATAAACTTGGTAAATAAAGATTTGTGATTTCGTTATCTGACCGTAAACTAGACCTAATGTACGACTAAAAACTGATTTTATTTCTGTTTAATATTTCGCTCTGTTAAATAAACAATATTACTATAGTTGGCCTGCGTGAAAAAATTTGTTGTCGAGTATGGCTCATTATAGAAAATTATAAACTAAAATATAAAAGTTTCAATGACCTCTATTATTGCTAATAGAGATTTTCGAAAACTTCCAAACAATCAAATATGTAATCAGCCATAAATAGCATACTTTTTAAGTTTTGCGAAAATAATCCTTTATTTTTATCACAATTCCTTTTCTGCTATTTTCAAGGGATAGAGGAGAACGCAACTATGCTAAATTATGTATAAATGATGATTTAGATCTAAATGGAACTAAATGAAGTAATAGGAATTGTGTAACCAGAAAAAACACTACATGAGCCTTTAATTTGACAAAATGACTAACTCCAATTTCAACATATTTGATTATCAAAAATTTACACCTTATTCAGAGTCCTAGATATCACTAAAATGATAGATATATGATAAAGATAATAATAATAATAATGATGAGAAATGATAAAATAATATATATATATATTTTTTTTTGTACTTATCCTTTTGAATTTCTTTTTAGATAATAATTACATCAGAAGGAGTTACAGTATTAAACAAATATATTCATGAGCCGCTTCTGCCGATTGATTTTGGAGGCAATGAAAAATCATCGAGTGATTTGAATAGTGAGTAACTGCATGAATTACTATTGAGTTATATGAAAGCATAATAGTTAGAAATATTTTTACAATTAAATGAAATATAATAATAATAACTTATAGGTTAAAAATATTTGATATATATATTTATATATATATATATATATATATACATATATATACGGGGTGACACGTATGATGTATACACAGGCATATTTTTATAGGAGTGATAGCATACCTAATAAACTTCCACTTAATTAAAATTAACTTCAAGTGAATTAAACGAGAAAGTATTCCTAAAACTGGGGTATCTGTAGTATAGCTGGATGATGGTAAAAAAAAAAAAAAAAATCGTAAATAATTTATATGATTAAAAACAGTACTTAGTCTAGTTTATCCCTTCGAAATGCCTCTTTGAATGGTTATAACAATGATAAACTGTATCTTCATTTGAAGAAAATTTTGTCTTGTTTAGAGTGAAGCAATCGTTAATTACTTAATTTAAATTATTATTTAGTTATCGCTTTCTATTCAACAAAAACCATGACTTGCATATAAAAAACACTAAACTTGGATTTCCAACTTTTCTGCCGAAAATCGGCCTATTTTTCAAATGAAATGTTTTGTACCTCCTAAAGTCTACTATCATTCCTATACAAAATTCCCTCTACTTACGTACCCTGTATATATATTCAATGAAGCACTAAATATATTTATACTTACATAATCTGATGGTTCGAACATAAGATTAGCACTTTTATTTGTATGTTGGCTTGGTTTAATATTGTGGGTTAAATGTATTTATGAAAAAAAAAAAAAGAATCTGAGACTTGCTTGTATTACCTAAGTAGCAAAACTGAGTCTCATGCAAATTAAAACAGCTAATACTTTTATTAAATACTGACGGAGTATAAGTGAGATTTTTATGGTTTCAAAACAGAAAAAAATATACATATATATTTATAAATATAGTCGGTTTTTCTTCTTCTAATTTTTATTTTTATATTTTCCTTAGAATATTGGATCGAAGAACTGAAAAACAATAAAGACTGGTTCTTGAAGACTAGTCAACAATTTGTGGATGAGACCAAACGGCCCGCTGACAAATTAAATACCTATGGCGTCGATGGGACATTCAGATCCCTCATGGTAGATTAAATATAAAATAATGGACCTAGGTCCAGTAACTATTAATGAATCTCTATTTTTTTATATTATGTAAATATGTTTCAACAATAAATAATAATTACAAAAAAAAATATTTATCATTCACCCTCCTCCCAATCTATGATGCTATTCATCCACATCGTACTTATAATTCCATACATCATTAACATTAAAAAAAATTAATAAATATTTATTAACTTCCAAAAAAAAAAGAAAAAACAAAAGGAAAAAAAAAGGAACCTGAATCATTATGTAACAGTTATAAGTTGAATATATCCTCATAAATATTTATTTTAACAGTATATGTCTTAATAGATTTCAGATATTTGTTTTAAAGTTTAAATTTCAAGTCTTTGGATTTGGATGTAGTCATTAAAATATTGAAAAGATATAAGTTCGTTTTTGATAACATTTCAAAGTTGCTACGGGTTCAAATCCAAGATGAGAAATTCCTATCGTAGTAAATTATAATAATTACAAGTGTAATTAGAAACAGGCTTCGAGCGCAGACTGAGTAATAATGGACTGGTAATAAAATACCAACAGAAGGAAGTTATAAATTTTATTTACCTTCGACTAATAAAGTAAGATACGGATGTCAAGGTGCTAATTATAATTATTCTTCTTAGGAAGGAAACTTATTTCAACCTGTAATAATTATATGTAAGAAGAAAACTTCTGATTTCGGTTTTGGTAAATTTCAGATATTATTTTATGTTCTGGTAATCTACAGGAATGCTGCAAACGAAGATATTGATAAAAAATAAATTTTGAATATATATATATATATACGGTAGAGGATCGGTCTTAGTAGAGGAAAATTTTAATGACGAAGTCAAAGTCCTTAATGGGCCATAGCGCCGAAGGAAGAAGATGCAGACACACGCACACATCCCACTGGTAACTAATACTTGACAGTATATTGTAATAATACTTGGTTGGGTCTAGGTTATTCACGCACTTAATAGGTAATTATTTGTACTCTAAAATATTTGAACAAGGCAAGTTTTTTACTTATGTAGTAACTGCTTAATCATACGATTTACGATTTCCTATGTCAAAATAACGACGTCCCACAAAACAGTTTTTGTTTCACATATACGAAAAGTTGGATGAAACAAAAATTACTTATTTAAGATAAGCATAACCATGTATAACTATTCAGCAAATGTTTCGTCTAAACCAACTAACCGGAAATAGAACTTTATGTAATCGATTTTAATATTTTCTCGACAAAGGATCAAACGATTTTAATTATACTCGTTATATCGATGAAATGAAATCGATTTAAAGATCTTTAATATTCCGAAGGCAGTGGATCAGGTTGTGTTCTCAACTCGTCTCTCAGTTTTTGTCTTATTTTCAGAGGAATCTTTCTGATTCTTCATTGAATACAATTCAAGTGTACATCAGAGCAGTTGATATTTATTGTTTGATATCTTTTATTGTTATTGTTATTTTTTTTATTTTCTTATGATATGCAGTATCATCAACAAAAGATGTCCAGTAAAGTATCCACTAAGAGGACTCGGTGGGCCGACGTTAGTACACCTCGTGGTTCACCAGCCAAACAAAGAACTCGTCGCTGCCTACGAGAAACACTTCCAATGACCACAGTGTACACTTCAGAACCAGAACCTCAGCCCCAACAAGGTACATCTTCGCTAAAAATGAAAGTAGAGAGACCATACTGCAGTGGCATATTTGTCAGGCGTATGGCCATGCGAAAACATATTGTCACCGTCTGCCGCGGTGCTTGTAATGCGGTGAACAGCAAAAATCTTTGGAGTGCATCAAACCGATACAACATCCTGCAGTTTGTGCCCTATGTTTGGAGGGACACCCGGCCAACTACAAAGACTTCCAAATTTACAAGAATCTCTAATCCAGACACCAGAAAAACCGGATTCAAGATAAAGCAGTAAGACCAAGAAGAGAATGCCCACCTGGTACGGTCTCGTGCCCGCCATGGGATATATGGGATCTCCTTGCTGCTATGGATAGGCAAAAGACTGGTCGTGCACCTGGTTTAGATTCCATAGACGCATCAATCCTCCGGAACAGTATCCCCTACATTGAACAGAGGCTGTTGGCAATGTTCAATGATTGTCTTGGCAGGTGATACTTTTCTAGAAGTTGGAAAATTGCTGATGTCAGGCTCATCTACGAGGGAGGAGACAAGGACAAGCAATTAGCCAAGTCTTACAGGCCTATATGTCTCCTCCCTATAATGAGTAAATTATTGAAGACCCTGCTAATGACAAGTCTACGACCAGTCTTCTCTAGGGCGATCCATCCACGGCAGTACGGATCCACTAAAGGCAGGGGAACCGCAGATGCCCTGCTAAGATTGCGCCATGACGTTGAATAGAAGGTGGAGAAGTAGGTTATGCTTCTCCTGTTCGACGTATCCTCTGCCTTCGATAGCGTCTGGTGGCCGAACGTACTCCAGCAGTTGCACTGGTATGAGGCTCCCAGCAACTTATATGATCTTTTAAATAGCTACCTCCAGGACCGAAAATCGAAGATAAAAGGCAGCTTCTTTGAAGTAGAAGATTTAATAGAACGAGGTTGTCCGCAAAGTTTGGTTCTTGGTCCATACCTATTGAAATTGGCCTTTGATGAGTTGCTGGGAGTGCTTGAACGGGAGCGGTTCCCCGCCACAGTTTATGTAGACGATCTGGCAGTTGCAGTGGCCTCGAACAGCAGAGCCAGGTTAAGTGAAGAAGCTGAACGGTGTGCCAACCTAGTAGGAGGATAGTGCGAGAAAAATAAAATGAAGACGGCGACTGCCAATCCGTTATTTTAAGGGGCAAGACTGACAGGGCCCACCCTGTTACTGTTAGTAGACAAGGATAAAGGATACGTCCAAGTGAGTCTGTTACTTATCTTGGCATAAGGATTAGAGGAATGTTCAACATTGCGCCTCACTTGGACTTCATGAAAAGTAGTGTGGCCCTGGCTCTCAATGGACTTATGCGCATCGGGGGCGCCATTTGGAGTCTCAGGTACCCAGCCACATTGAGTATTCATAAAGGAGTCATTGTAGACATCCTGAGGTATGCGTTCCCTCCTTGGAGTCATCATCTCTCGCACCAACAGAAGAAAAACTCAATTACGACACTCGACGATTCCCTTTTAGGATATGGCTTCTCTACTATCATACTTATATGGTACATTCTTATTTCGTACATTTTTTTGATTCCTTGAGTTGGCTCCAAGTTTACGAAAAATAAGGTTAGATCAACTTTTACTCTTGGCTGTTCCGTACTCTCTTTTAGAACATCTGTAATCTGGCGCAGTATGAAACCTAAATTTTGCAGTTCTTCTTCTAATCCAAGCTGTGTAGATTTCTTATAACAACTCTGAAAGCCCAATTTTGCCGTAATTGATACGTATGATAATCCGCTTTGGTTTCTGTTGGGAATTTCATAATTTTTCTATAGGTTTCAGCTGCATCTGGTGATGCCTTCGTGTCCTTTGTACAGCTTAGACATGAGTAGCTTCCAGAGCCTGTTATTTTGATAATTCACTCTGATTTTGACTGATAGTTCAGTTGAGAGCATAGTAACTGAATTTTTAAAAATGTTTTTAACGAATATCGGTGGAGGTCGGGTCTCTTGGTATCTCAGCTGACTCCATTACCTCTCTATTATTCTGAAGCACTTGATAGGGGTTGGAAGTAAAAAAAAATGAGATTCTTCTCATTATATAAGATGTACCTGGTTGATGCTGAATTTCTTCGATTGCCTTTTTTTATAATGTACCTGGCTTGAGTTTATTGTCTCCGGAGTTTTTTAAGACATTTTTCCGGCTAACAGGGGTCACTCGAGGTGTTTGACGAGGCTTCTTTTTTTTGACAGTCGAAGAACGAGGTGTCGAGCCTAATTACCTAATTATCTTAATAGGCTCTCTGTTAGACATGGTGATATCGCATAAAAGAAAAAGGAAAAAAAAGAAATTTATAATTGCAAATATTAAATATCAATTGTTCTTATGTAGCCTTGTCCTCTTTAAAATGAATAATCTCAGATATTTCGCTTAAAAACAAGCGAAGTATCAGAGGCGAGGTAAAAACACAAACATTCGCATTAGCCGATCGATCAGCTGTTTCTGATAGTTAATCAAAGGAGAAATAAGAGATCGTATTAGAGAATCATAGAAACCCGTGCATGCACCATAGATTGATCGAGAAGTTATAATAGGTTTCTATTATTTTTATTTTTTAAAACTTTTTTATTGAGAATATTACAATCTGTCTGAGGAGAATAGGTTTCTAAACGTAAAACCTGCTAATCTGCTAATATAATAAGAAATCTGATAATATTATAGGAGAAGAAAAGTAAATATTATTTTGGGGCATTCAGCCAATTAAGAATATTTATATAATCATCTACTTGTTGTAAATTAAATTACATTGCTATCGAGTCTTGAAATTAAAATAAAGAAAGGCTCAAGTTAACAATATCTGAATTATAGTAAGATGTATAAGAGTGTGTTCACATGCAAACAATAGATAATATCTAGGTATCTGTAAGATAACAGTAAAATGAAGTGATAGCTCTAAAAGACGCAAAAATGTTATGCTTACACATGTTCAGAAGATTGTTTGCTGAGAGGACGGAAAAATAAATGGTTAAGGATGAGGATTTGCGTAAGGAATAAGTTAGGGAATTCCAAAACAAGGCAGCACGTATCAGAAAGGATTTTTTTAAAGAAAACAGTTCAATGGAAAGGAATAAACAGGTTTGAGGACTGAGATCTCGTGTTGAACGAATAAAAAGAGGAGCAAGGAGTAAAAATATCAAGAAGGTAAGATGGTTAGAGGCACTTCAACTCGGCATAACAGCTGTAGAAATGGGACCGACTGGGAGCCCCAAAGATGAATATAATTCATTAGTATATTCAATCTGATCCTCAAGTCCACCGTATACAAAATAGACACAATCGAAGTGAGGAATAATAAGAGAGAAAACTTGGAACTGGATTTA